ACTTTTCGAACTCACTCTCACAATGCCCTCTCCCCACTTCCCACCTCCCTCCACATGATATACAAAGTACAAAACCAGGCTCATTTATTCTTCTTTTCCAATAAACGAGTCTTCGCGGTAACATCGTTCACTGTAATGTCGTTATTTTGTATTCGCGGTAATGTCGTTCGCGGTATTGTCTCGCGGTAATGTCGTTCGCGGTATTGTCTCGCGGTATTGTCTCGCGGTAATGTCGTGTCACGTGAGAAACATCGAAACGTTGATATTAAAATAATTTAATAATAAAATTATGTCGAAGTTCAAAGCGGCTGTCTTTATACTCAGATTTATAATAAACATGTACAATTTAATATTTTATAGTTTAAGAAATGTCATTATCAGACCTTGGAAAGTCTTCTAATAATGATAATGACAGTAACGACGATTACGACAATGGTTCAGCGCGACGTTATTCAGTAATAGTAACATCAGCAAATGAGGATGTGTTTATAGGAGATGAATATGTAAATCCTGATGATACTGATGATCCTGATTCTGACAAACAACCTTTACTGAACCATTCAATAAAATCCAATCAACATGGTATTTTTCCAATTTGAACAAAACAGTTGTATTTTCTGGCTTGATCTCAACTAATTTTTTTTGTCTTCTTTTTGGCAAAAAGGTTCGTTATGTTGTAAAAATATCAAAACTCGTTATATTATTGCAATATTGGCCTTCTTTGGATTTTTTTGTGGTTATACCATACGTGTTAATCTTTCAGGTATTGCAAGATCACAAATTGTTCTATTATATTCCCTTTATATCTATACTTTTAGTGGCAAGGGGTGACTCATGAAAAGTATCCAGATACAAGGAGAGATAGCCGATGAACCAAACTTGGACAGTAGCGAAAGAAAATGGCGGACATCAATACGGTTTTTTTTAAATTGGGAAGTTTTTTCGGCTTTTGTAACAGATTTGAGCGTTGAAAGATTGCTGTTCAGTAATGAATCGAAAAACGTGAACAGTTGACTGTGTATGCCAGCTTCTACCGCTGTAACAGATCATAGAACTACTTAGCATTAGTGTACTTCCGTGTTTTTTGGACATTTTCTAGCAAAAAAGGTGAAATATCGGTATTTTTTTTAAATGAACCTGTCTGGTCGCTTTTACAACATATACAACAAAATATTTATCTCTAAATAAATCTTTTGTGGATGTTAAAGATTTGAGGCTCTCTTCGTCATAACACTTATCTACTGAAAAAAGGGAAAGGAAAATAAACTATGTGTCTGTCACAGGAGAAAATGAAAACTCGTTGTAGAAAAGAGAATGATTATCAGAATTGGAGGGACTCGGATCAGGCTAAAATGACTGCAGAAACGGCAGGCCTTTTGTAGTGCTCATCCTTAATGAATTGTCTCAAATTGTTGCGATGGTAAGGAGAAGAATTCGTAAGCTGTTTTCTTCAAACTTTGTTATTATTCAGGTATCACCGCAAAGTCTGCTAAATAAATCGAAACAAGCATGTCCATCGACCGAGAACCGAAACTCATCTCACTCAACGGTACTTTTTAGAATACCTGTTTTGTCAAAAATACACCATTAGACGAATTAATAAAAAAAAGTAGCATCACTTTTTTCCTGAAATATATGTTTTTATAGGATTATGAATTTGATTGGTCTCCTCCAACGCAGGGAATCATCCTTGGATCATTTTTTTATGGTTATATCTTAACTCAGCTGTGAGTATCTCTATATACACACTAACAGACACAATCATACTTTTATATCGTTTTTCTGATAGAATAGGAGGTAAGACTTTAAATATTCGGTGAGTGATATAAATTTTATAAGCAAAAAAGCCAAATTTTTTGCAGGAAATTTTGCTGAACGTTATGGTGCAAAATATATTTTCGGTGGAAGTGTTTTAATTACTGGGTTATTAACATTATTAACACCAGTAGCGGCAAGAACTCATGTAGTCTTTTTGATTGCCATTCGTGTTTTAATTGGTATTTGCTCTGGTCCACTTTTTCCTTCAGCAGGTATGTTTTTCGTGTATAAAAATGTAAGAGAGAAAAATCATTCTATACATTTTTCTTAGGAGCATTATGGGGAAGATGGGTATGATATACTATGTGTATCAATAATTTTTAGACTTATTTTGTCTCCACTGTCTTTTAGATTCCTCCTCTTGAAAGATCAACAATTCCTCCAGCGGCAACAACGGGTGCTAATATTGGAATTGTTATTTCAACACCATTGGTCAGTCTGTTAAGTGCATCATCATTCCTTGGTGGATGGCCAAGTGGCTTTTACGTATTCGGTAGGAGACGATCAAGGAAATTATCTCTATAATAGCAATTTTTTGACGAGATTTTTGCTGGAAAATCAAAGTTGTCTGAAAATTCTGAAACAAATACCGTTCAACTCAGTTGTTGAGGCTGATTCCAAATTGGATTTGGTTTTGAGAAAAGATTGAAATTTGAAAGCTGCAAAATACGATTGCACTCCCTTGACTTTTGGAATCAGAGAGATTTGCACGGTGCGTAGGTAGTACTTTAACAGTTCTATTCCTGTTTATGAAAGTGTGAGCCTATTTTACGTTGTAAGAATGCCAAACTTAGCTTCAACTTAGCTTAAAGAACCCAGTTCAAATTCACATAAAGTCCTAAAAGTTAAGGAAACTTTACTTAAATTGAACGAGAGTCAGAGAGAGAGATGATAGTTAACCTTTGAAAACTACCAGGATAACGGTATGGGTATTAAACAGCCATTACTATGAAGAACATTCGTCGAGTAGCGTTTAGATTTCTCTTTCCTTTCTACTATCGGCGCCATAACTCAAGGCACCCGGTTGTTTTCCGAATAACTTCAAAACGATAAAAAATAGTGCCTTCCGATTTTCAACAATCGAGTTGAAGTTTCCGGAGATTCGAAGTGGTTTTTCAAAGATACTCTAGAAAATCGGTCTTCCGAATGGTTTCGCAAAAGGGTTTTGTTATGTAAACATAGGCTAAACTGTCTTCTTTCGATTGTTGAAAATCGCAAGTCTCTATCTTTTATCGTTCTGGAGTTATTCGGAAAACAATCGAGTGCCTTGAATTTTGGCGTCGATAGTAGTTTATCAGTTATATGTATTTTATCATGCTTATGAGAAGACTAAAATCTTACTTAAAAATTGCTACAGTCGGTATGCGCGTCAGACACTAGAATAATCAAATTCACGTATAAAGAAGAGTTTACATTCAGTTGATTTCAAAGTAAATTTAAAAACGTATCAAATTCAGCTGTTTTTCCGTTGGGTAAGAGCACCACTTCACTTCACTGAGCCTGAAACGGTCTAAACACTTCAAAATCACTTCAAGTGAAGCAAGGAATTGCACTATAGTGCTCTTTCCCCTTTGCATTTTTGTCTATCTTTGATAAATGTATACTTTGTTTATCTCACATAAGAGTAACTTCTAAATCCCCTCTCCTCTGTCCAAAATGCGGAAATCCATACTGTTTTCGCCGATATTAAAGATTCCGGAGGGTTTTTGAAGCAGCCCAAAAGGGTAATTACATGAAATTCCAATATTCCAGTGTAATGAAAATATTTCAATGTTGGTAGGTTTTAGATTGTAAACAGTTCTGATTAAAATGAGACGTCTTCAACCTTTGAGCAAGGCTTTAATCAAAAGCTATGACAGTTTTACGAAGAGCCTTCAAATCTACATCATGCACGAGCGCCATCGTTGATTTTTTACGTAGTCGCTCTAACAGTTTTCCAAAATTCTCAGCCAGCTTAGGTTCTAAAGAGTTCTAGATCGTCTTGTTTTGTACTGAAATGTTGTCTCTTTGACGGTACAGAAACGAACTTTTGAGTCCCGGTTCAGAAGATAAGGAAAATTAAGAATCTTGGAAAAGCTTGGACAAAAAAATAAAGCTTATATTATAAAAAGATTGTTAGAGATTTTGACAGAAAATGTTTCGCATTAATCAGTAACAGTAAATTTCAAAAATCGGGCTCTGAGTTGTCAAAGTGACAACATTTTTCTACAAAATCAAATGATCCCAAGCTCTCTAGCCCCTGAGCTGAGAATTTTTGGAGACATTAACTGCCCCCTGGTGACTCTTCGTGGCGACATCTTGTGAACAATGATAGCTGTAGTCGTAAAAACGTTCGTCCTTATACTCTGACATAGTCAACATTCGCTGAGAGTTTGGTCAGTGTTAGGTTCCCAAGTGAACTAAGATCTTTCCCATCTAACGTTTTATTTCAGAAAACTTTATACAAACATAGCACCCACTATTACACAAAAAACGCACATATATATGCTAAGTCGTTGCACAATCGTCACGTCATATTCCAGGTTCTTGCACCATCCTAGAACTGTTCTGTATCTTTGACTAAGGCTGATGTAATAACCTTGAATCTTCTTGCGCAATAACCCTGACTACAGCCCTGCACCATAACCGTGAAGATATTCTTGCACAATAACCTTAACTATGATCTTCTCGCTTATGGCACGACTATGGTGCGTGGCATAACAATCAGCATCGGTTAGTAGTCACTGAAATAGATTTCTGATGAAGGACCTTTAAGTTCATTAAAAAAAATTTCTTTACACCGTATAGATGAGCCTCACAACGATCATCTATGTACTGCTATTCATTATTTTTAAGGTTGTCTTTCAAGTATCTGGTTTACTTGCTGGTATTTTTTTGGCTATAGTTCTCCAGCAGTTCATCCAAGAATATCTTCTGAAGAAAAATCATATTTAATGAAATATTCATCAAAATTGAAAAAGGTAACTGTCCTAGTCGATCGATCTTACGGCAATTCTATAGAAATCTTATAAGGATCTTATACAAGGCAGTCGATGGAAATGCATAAGACATTGATAAGCTTCTTATAAGAAGGAATATAAGAATCTTATAAGATTTTGATAAGAATTCGGTAAGACAGATTATATAATTATTTTATAAGAATTCATCAGATTTTGGTAAGGCTTTAAGAATCTGATAGGAATCTTATAGGAACGATACAGTACAATTTCATCACATTCTTTAGTGATCGGTACTCTATATTCTACTGCTTCGTACCTGAATAAAATAATTTTCTTTCCACTTATTTAATTTTTCTATAATAAGACCTTAGTCCCACTATCTACTGCTTGTAGACCGAATTTACTTCCACAAATCTATCATGGCTATAGGAAAATAAAAATATGTGAGATGAGAATGCAGGGCATGACATGTTGTTCGTTTTTTATAAATCTCGCTTTTTCAAACTAATCGCTGGAAAATGTGAAGTAATTGAGATCCTTTTTTTCCTATAAAGATCAGATTCGATTCGAACCTTCTAAGTCGTAGAAAATAGAGCGGGTCGAATACTACTAATATGCAGCAAAACTCTTTTCATATGTCTCAACCCTTCCACTTCCCCCCCTTGGTCACTGGAGTGACTATTTGTAGATCGATGACAAAAAGTTAAGAAAGCACGGAATTTAAAAATTTTGGGAAGATGTCTTGTAGCGAACTCTATAAGCTATCGATTGGTAAAAGAAATATTTTGTTACATTATTTTGTCTTCGAAAAAGATGAATTACGAAATCGATGACTTTTAAAAAATCACAAAAATTGAATTTTTTTTGGAAAATATTTTTCTTCCAACAGGCAAGATACATCTTGATAACCTATTGTGTGGTATATAACGACAATAATGTCTACCATCAATATCAATGCCTTTTGAAAGTATCAGAAAAGCCAGGTAGATATGATACAGAATGGTCACTTCAGTGACCATTGGGGGGAATGACTTGAAAAAGTCCCATTTTGGGCTTTCGTAAATTTGATATAGTTCGACCAAAAGACGTCACAGAGAGTTCAGGGCATCTCATTTTGTAGAGAATTGTTTGCTCTATCATTCTACATAGTTTGAAAAAATTTTATTCGCAAGTTCTAGAGGCCGGGAAACTAGGGTTTTGGTTTTCTAGAAAACTGTATTATTGGAAATCCAGTGATGATTTTTATTTTCCCAGATCCTAGTTAGCAACAATTTTCCCTACTCTTCTTTCTTTTCATTCTTTTTAGCATTTATGGTTGCGGAAAAAATCGAACATACACTCAGTTGATCAATTTTTGTAACCATTGTAGTTTTCCAGCACCTAGAACCTGCAAATAAACTACATAGAATGATAGAACAAACAATTCTCTACAAAATGAGATGTCCCCGAGCTCTCTACAATGTTTTTTGGTCGAACTATATCAAATTTACAAAAGCCCAAAATAGGACTTTTCAAGTCATACCCTCCCCAATGGCCACTGGAGTAATCAAACTACTCTGCACAAACGAGAGTCCATACCGATCTGTCCATACTGTTGTTATATTGGAGACGCCAGTACTCTATTCCAGTAGTTGTTACAACAGTGGCTCTTCTGGAACCGATGTGGAGGGTAAAGTGTTAATAAAGCACTAGAAGCAATCATAAAAGAACTTCATCTACTAAGTTAAGATTCTGATAAAAAAGCGGGATTTATTTCAATGAATTAAATAAATGGAAAGAAAATTATTTTATTCACCTATGAAACAGTAGGATATAGAGTACTGATCATTAAAGAATGTTATAAAATTGTGCTGTATCGTTCCTATATTCTGATAAGAATCTTATAGAAATCTTATCATTTTCTTATATAAGATTTTTATCAATATCTTACGCATTTCCATCGGCTGCCTTATATAAGATTCTTATAAAATTCTTATAAGAATCTTATGAGAATATTGCAGATATTCTATAAGATTTGATCTCTAGGGTGAGCAGTCAATTAAACAAAATTAAATATTCTTTGTTTGTTTGCACTGGTTGAATTTTAGCATCATCGAACACCATGGAAAGATATAATAAAATGTGTTCCATTATATGGAATAACAATAATGCATGTATGTGCTAATTTTGTTTTTTACACATTATTAACATCATTACCAATTTATTTTGCAACAATATTAAATTTTGATTTGCATGAAGTATAATAGAGAAAAACTTTCAAATATAAAACATTGTAAATATACTATTATCTTCTTAGAATGGCTTTCTATTTGCTCTACCCTACTTTTGTCAATCAGTTATTACTGTTTGTGCTGGTAACATAATGGAACGAATTCGAAAGAAAACAAAATTAACAACAACAAGTATTAGAAAAATACCAACAATAATTGGTTAGTGGGAGAACGTGAACGTTGAGAAATTTTATATTAAATGAACAATAGTTTCTTTTGCTTTTTAGGCTGTGTTGGATTATCAATATCTTTAGTAGCAATTGGTTATTTTGAATGTAATAGGATTGGAGCCGTTTTATGTTGTATTTTAGCTGTAGGATTTATTGGTTTTTTGAATGTTGGATCTGCAGTTTCATATTTGGATCTAGCACCTAACTATGCAGGTAGATGTTAGATGGCATTTTCTTTTGTTTGAAAACTGTTTCAGACCATAGTGTTATTTTTAAAGGAACGCTCGTTGGCATTACGAATACATTAGGCACTATTCCAGGATTTGTTGGACCATTGATCGTTGGCGCAATCACAAATCATAATGTTTGTTAATACATGTCTATATATAACTTCTAAACTTTTGTATTGTTTCTTCATCATATTTTTAGCAAACGTTGCATGCTTGGAAAGTTATATTTGATCTTACGGCTGGTATTGGAATATTTGGATGTGTAGCTTTTTGCTTGTTGTTTCGCGGCGAAGAACAAAAATGGAATCATCATCCTGATACGGCTGAAGAAAAAACTGTTTTACAATCAGATTTACTTAACTGAAGAATTTTATCTTGTCTGAGCATAAAAAAAATATCATCCTATCCAATTGAAAATACAGATTTTGAAAGACGAAAACTTTCATTATAAATTATGTCAAAAAATTACAAAGATTCATTTCAACATTTAGGCAAAAACAACACTGTTTCTTTCGGCAAAAGGCGACAAAAATATTACTGTTTTGATTGTGTTTGGTCCGATTTCGGATTTGAAATGAGATAGAAAGCTGAAATTTTCAGAAGTGGATAATCAAGCCTTAGTACAGAAAAAAATTTATGAAAATCTGTTCAGTGAAACACATTTTATAAGCAAATTCTTTTCTGAACACCAACGATATAATGACTGTGTAATTCCCTAACAGGAGCATCAGAATGGATTATTTTAAGAATCAAATTAAATTTAAGAATTACAGAAAAGATATAACCGACAGTAATGTGTGAATGTTTGAGTTTTCTATGTTAAGATTAGCATATTTAGAAACGTATGCTAATAGGCTTCATGCAAACAGGACGTGGCCAAACTTAGAATTTGATCCGCCAAAACTGGAATTCTGCATTTGACCAGCCGAGATTAGCCCATAAGGACGTGCGCATTCAGATACTAAACACCTTCACAAATAATTGACTGTACTTTCCCATTACTGATTCTAATCTCTAAATGATTATTACGTCATTGCACTTTAGGTAAAGGTATTGACAGAGGCGGAGAACTGATTAAAGGGTACTAAACACTTGTATAAACAATTCAACGTACTTTCTCATGACCCATTCTAATCTTTGAATAATTTTTATCCCAACGCGCGTCCTTTCCGGATAGAATTCAAATGCTTACACATAGAAAATTCCGAATTCGAAATCTAACCAAATTGTAAGTTCGACCAGAGTACATATATATGCATTCATTTCGTTTTTCTTTGTCTGTTCACAAGTAACGTTCATCAGCGGTTTACTCGACCCTTGATTGACTATTACATACGAATAAGTTTCTTACCTAAGGCGAAAGACAATATGAGGACACTGTGGCACGATAGCTCGGGTGATTAAAGCGTTGATATGGAATGTCATGGCTAAACATGTAAAATGAATTACGTTTTGATTAATTCATCCAATATATGCCTCAACGGCAGTACGCTCGGTTTTTCTCAAGGTCTTCATTTATACAAATGTATTTGCAGTCAAAAGTTTTTCGGTGATCATTATCAATATTCGTCTGCTATCATCAATATATTGTTTAATTCAACAATGTTACCTGCACGTATCCTAATTAACTCAGTTATTCAGTTATGCGATTATGAATTGATTTCGTGGGACCTTGTTGTCAAACAACAAAAACTTTTTCAAAATAGTTCAACATCGGTTAAAATAGATCACAATGACATTCATATACCGGCCATTGGTATTATGAAATTTTATTTCGAAACAGATATCGAATATTATCTATTGTATGTTCAACAAAAACAAATTAAGATTAATGTCACGATAGAGTTTAGCACAGAAAGTCACTGTCAACATACTCGCACGTTATTAACAGCTACCACGGATTATAATTCAAGCACAAACGTATTCCAGTATAACTTGTTATGTAGAAATTCGACTGAAACAATATATTTTCATGATTAGAAGTCCTGCATTAAGAACAACTGCGGTCAGATGATTAGTCAAAATAGGACTAATACGAGTAGGGATGAGTAACCGATTTTAGATTTTTCAACATTTTCGCACGTTATAACTAACTAATTTTTTAGCAAGAAATGATGGCAAAAAACGTTGTAAAAAATCAGCTAGACGAGGAATCTATGACATCTATCAACAAAGTGGTTGGATAAAAAAACTTTAATTAGCGGATTCCAACAATTCTTTTGATTTTCTACTATAATTCGTGATCATTTTTCAGGGAGTAACTTCTTAAAATGACGCTTGTTTGTTGTTTGCCTGCAGCATGGAACAGATCATTGTCTGTAGAACAGAAAACGCGGAAGTCAAACCGTAAAGTCAAACTGTAATATATCGTTGACAGTTGCCCTCCCTCCCGGTTAGCTAAAAGTGCACTTTATTAGTTACTAGAATATTACCTTCTTTCACTGATGTACCGCATTGGGTTGATGAATAGATTGTTGTTACTGGCTCACAATTACATTCATCTGTCCCCATAGTATCGACTGCTGGAACTTTTAGGACGTTTTTGGTGCTTGATAGTCTCATTCTTCATGGGCGGCGGCAAGTCTCCTTCTTACGAGACGATGCATGACACTTTCGAGGAAGCGGATAACATGCTAGAATAGAATTTTTTCTGACCAATACATAAGTTCAATATATTTTTACATAAAATGAACCATTGCAATACTCTCAAACGGTACAATTTCTCCACTAACGAGGAAACATTCCCAGGTGCCGGAATCCGATTTCGTCCGTTTATGTGTCGATCGATACGTCCTATTGAGGTGTGAAAAAGCCTCAAAGGATATCTGCCCGATTTGCTTAATTCCAAAGTTAGACCCGTTTTTCTGTTTTTCCCAGCGATAATTCTCAAAAGTTAATTCAATATGATGCAAAATCGAATTATATGACAAATTTTAATTATAGGAAGTGAAATTCTTTTAGTAAAACTTGTGTCCCGACACGTTAACTTTATTATACTAACCACTACAACTAGTATAATCATGAATTATGCTACAATTATCATTCTAACATCAATTGTATGTTGTTTGATTAATAACTATTGTCCGTTTAAAAAAAGAATGACCCATTGTCCTTTCAGCTAGAGAGCGGAAGTTTGCAGATATGGAAAGAGGAGACCATAGAGCATCTTTTTACATGCGGAAATGCGTTTAGAAAATGTTTTGAAAACCAGTTTTTCAAGGGGCTTCTAGAAAACTCATGCATAACAGACGGATTTAAAATACAAACGCTGACCTTGGGTCACCCTAAAATGGGTCACGATAGGGGTAATCGGCCACACTGAGGCGAATGGTGATGTTTATTTTTAGTTTCGAACCGATCTAAAGTCACTATAACAAGATTTTCAAATTCCAGCATTCTGCCGCTATGATGCGTATAGAGCGGATATTTCGAAAATCTTGTTATAGTGACTTTAG